TTCTTGTGTAACGCTGGCCATACTCTTGCTAGTTTCATTGTGCTCCTCCTCCTTCGGACATGTTGTGTCCAATGGCTATATAGGTTACCCAAAGTGCTCCGGAGAAACCGTTTCTCATTCTTAATTTTCTTTCACCATTTGCTTGACTGGGCAATTTTGGTTAACGTCCAACTCCTCCAACTCTTGAATCAAGCTTGTTGAAGCTGACGCCTTTTTAGCCAATTGGTGGTTTGTCCGGAATTTTCTTTAACTGGAGTAGACACCTTCATTATATAACGCGCAGATTATGTGTCCAATCGTTGAATTCAGGATTGTCTATGAATCGAGTTGTTGTACCACCATTGTGTCAATTAAGTAATCGCTGAAGTTGGGATAAGGTATACCGGCAAGAGCCAGTGAACTGTTTAGCACACCAGAACAGTAGGAATTGCATGTCTTGCGTAAGTAAATTTACACTAGTGTCGTTTGCGCTTTGTTTTTTCTAATTCACTCTAGCCTGAAATCTCCCGCGACATTGTTCCAACACCGGAGGGTTGTGGTGAACCCCCTGATGGTCACAATTACGTCAAAGTTACCTTCGATCGCACCCTAGTCATGTCGACCTACATAGTCGCCATGGTACTGGGAGACTTTGAGTACCTCTCCGCTAAGATTCCAACCGACGACACTAGCAACGGTTGTTCCTCTTCCGCATTTGGAACAAAGGAATCACCGAAGAAGTTACCAGGGCAGTTGGAAATTCGGGTTTACACGCCACTGGGAAAGCGCAATTTCGGGCAGTATGCGTTGACGGTGGCAAGGAAATCGTTATTCTTTTATGCCGATCTCTTTGGATCACCCTACCCACTGCCGAAGCTGGATCTGGTCGCAATTCCGGACTTTGCTTGCGGTGCAATGGAGAATTGGGGTTTGGTGACTTACAGGTGAGTTGTTGAAAGGTTAATGTTGCCTCTCTCTTTCTGCTGCTTTTGAAGCATAATCCTGTCGATGAATTTGGCTAACCAGATGAAATTTGACCCCCGTTTCTGCCACCTTTTTGATCATGATGTCCTATTCAGTCCGTTGTGTGTTTTCTATTGTAGTGCCTTCTATAACCTGATAGTTTGCTCAGAATTGTTTGATGTTAAAGTGGTAACTTGCACCCCACGTACTGATTCACTGGGTGTATTTCAGGATTGATAGGTTCGCTTTTGGCTATAATGGTGTTTTCAAACTTCCCTTCAGTGCCGGAGCCACTGCCGAAGTGTTGCTTTTGTAACAGCAGACATGAGTATGCTAGTTTTTAAAACACCATGAACGTGTTTGTGCTGGTGAGCTCTAGAACGATGCCCCAAACATGGTAAATCATGCGAGGAGTTGGAAGGATGTTAAGAGGATCCTGAAAGCTATTAGACCGTTCACTTTTGCGTCATGCTGATCGTGTGAGAAGATTCTTTTAGGGACATCCATCTGAGGTCTTGACAGCCCCCCTCCATCTCTGGATATGGACTGTATCACTGCTGATTACACCTGGTGGGAAAGGAATTGGGAAGTGTGGCATGGTTTATAGTGAGTGAACATGATGTTCGTTGATGACGATACGCTGAGCATGAGGAACAAATCAGATTCAAAATGTACCTACTTTTCTTATTGTCACAGAAGAATCATTATTGGGTAATTTTTGAGTTACTTTTCTATTTCACCCACGAAGTAACTAGCAATGACACTTGAGGTGGCTGCTATCTCGGAGTCACTGTGGTTGGAGGTTCATGTAAGGTGAATGGGGCATACCCTTTCATTGTGTCTTCCAAAGTGGAGACGTGGAAGGGAGGCTGGCACAGCTTTCTTTCAGTCGGTGTGCAGAAGCTTATCATTGTGGAAATGTGGTCACTGAAGAGGTGTGCTCTGTCCTTGTCATCTTAACCTTGACCACACGAGATGCTTTGGGGACCGCATAATTGGTATTACGAGTTATAGTCAAGGTTGTTCATTGTTGAAGGTTGGATGGAGTTATTCTTTTCTGTAGGAAAATTACTTCAAAGCAATACTAGTCGTCAGAAATTGTAAGGAATGTGGAGTTTTTTTCCGGTAGAAGTAGTGCTTTGTGCGATCAGCCTGGGAGTTGGGCATCAGCAAACCTCCAAATGCTCGTGTAATGCTATCTGAA